AATGTTTTTTGTCAGGGGAGAATCAGAATGAAAAGCTTTCAGGAAAAAAACCCCAGCGTAATCTCTCGCCGCAGAATGCATAATCTCTCCTGACATAAAAATGACGACGCACGTATGTTGTTGCAGTCAGGTATCATCTGGAGTGAAGTGTCTCTGAACAGTGTGTCTGTCATTCTTTAAAGTTTAAAGTCTGCCCGTAACGGTGAGACAAGGTCAGTGGTGATGATGAAGAGCTGGTCGTGGAACCGGCAGCCGTGGGCTGGAGTGGAACACGGTCCCTTGATCGGCAGAACTTCTACTGTACATGAATGTGTGTATCTGTGGTAACTGTGTGTACTCCATGAACGTTTGCGATGATGTATCTCGTCATATGCACGTATACATCTACATGACTGTGTCAAAAATGCTGCCTTGCATTTGAAACAGATCCACTCTCTCTTTCTATTCCAGGGATGAGCACAATGGCTTTTTATGCAAATCTGCTGGAGTCAATCTCCTGTCCATTTTCCCATCACACAAGTCTAAATGACAGTCCAATAATTTGGGCTGCATATATATAGGGCCATTTGATTTTCAAATGAGAGTGGGCAGAGTTGACCCTTGCTAATAGCCAAGGCACAGCAGCAGACTTAATATCACAGATGCATAAGCATAGCCATTTCCATCTGAGGGAGATGGAGGAGAATTAAATGTGAGGGTGGGGGGGCAGAGTTGGATGATTGAAAGAAAAAAAATGCCCCTTGGTTGATGGGGAGGGAAAAAAAGAGGAAAAAGAAGTACAAAGACGACGATTAAAATTAGAAAAGAGAGGAGTTCTTTTGATGCATCAAATCTAGTATTCTTTCCTTCTTCCTCCCCTCTTCCTCCCATCACATCACTTTAATGCCTCCCCAACCCTTGATTTTCAGCCATGGTGTTGCCACAAGGATCATGGGTAATGAGATGGCCTATCTGTAGCTCCTCAGGGCGAATAGAAAGGGTGGGGGGAGAGGGAGAGAGGGAGAGAGAGAGAGAAAACAAAGAGGGTGGAAGACAGGGATGAAGAAAGAGTTCTTATTCTTTCTTCATGAGAAACAAAACTTTCCATCCAAATGTCATCTCTTTTCCATCTATATCATAAAAAAGTTGAGTATTTCATGATTCCGAGATTCCGAGTTCAAAGTAAAGTGTGAAGAAAGAGACAGCAGAGGGGGAAAAAACAATAAAAACAATAAAAAAAGAAAAATGTGATATGGAAATGTGCAGTGGAACACATTTGTCCAATTCTGCTTGAAATATGACGGAAAACTGAACAGACAGACAGACAGACGGGTGGGTGGCGACCATCTGAGGAACAGGTGACACAGCCTCTGAGACACTCTGTGTGTGTGCGTGTGTGTGTGGTCCTCGACCATGCCACATTGACCATGAACATTCTCAACTTCTAATGACCCAGGGGCAAACACAGCATAGATCTAAACCTCAAAGCTCCACGGACACACATGCAGAAATTGACACACACGCACACACCATCTCACCCCCCCCTGCCCCCCCGCCCCATAGCCCTGACAGAGTGGCACTGACAGATTTACTCTCCTCTCTGTGTGCACTAGAGCCAGTGTTTGTTATTAAAAATCATAACGAAGCCATACATCAACACAACTGATGCTAAGCTAAACAAAGACTGGTCCAGCTACGGCCATGCTATTTTTAGAGGCCGTTTATGCCGAGTCTCCACAGACTGCTTACATTCAAACATGGAGGTAAATCATATTCCATCTTGTCAGCGTAAAACATTCCTAGGGAATTCAAGTTTTTCTTTTCAAAACTGTGATAAAACTTAAGTCATGTTTGATACACAGCTGACTCTATTTGGAAAAACACCATCTGTTAGAACTTAAGTTATGAAAAAAAATGTTATATTTATCTTTAATAGCCAGTGGGGCATTAATGTCCGCTTTTTCCATATAGGGCCAATGACTTCCTGCACCACCTGTTGGGCCCTGGACACCATCTGACATGATGTGTATGTGCTGCTAATGTCATTTTCCTGGGTCTGGGAACAAAAAAAAACACTTTCAAACTCTCAATTCCCCTCAGAAGTACTCCACTGCTGCTACAAAGCAGCCATAAAATGTCCTGAATATGCTTTTTGTTTGTATCTTCAAATGGTTTCCCATGCCATAAAGATCTTCTGTGTTTCCAAAAAAACAGATGGTAAAGTCGTCAACACTTGGATCTTTTCATGCACCGAGCCAAGCTACCTCCATCCCCATGTGCTTTTCACCTCTGCCAATACATAAAAGGAGAGGTGTTTTTTTGGTCAAATAAAGAAATGACTTTTTTTTCCGCCGCTCCTCTACGCTTTTTCTCTCCCTCTCCGTGCTTTACTACCACATGTCCAAGGGTAAAATAGTGGGATTTCTGCCAGAGGCATTAAAAGCGTCATCTGTGGAACAGATTTGTTGAGGCCTGTGGGGTAGGTGGGTGGGTAGATGACGTAGAGGGGTGTACGAGTGCACGGAGGGGGCACTGGGATGACCCTCACTTGCCTCAGTGGAACTGGCGCTTGTTGAGGACACTCCCTTGCTTTGCTTAAGTTTCTTTTGAGGCAAAATCAGGGCTAAATTAGGATTACGCTGAAACAAACCACTTCTTTTTCATGCTCTACGGCTGGTTGTGTTTTTTGGGCGTGTTACTTTAATTACAGCTAATAAGAATAGCTCATATTTTATGATTTTCAGTTTCTGACAATAATAGTTTTACACTTTGAGGCCTCGGTTAACGTAGGCCTTAAAGCAGGGGCCATATAAAAGAGTACCATGTTTTAGCGATTTGAGTGAGAAATCCTTAAGGACAGACATCTCCGACTAATCCTGTGCCAAGTTCAGTCTTTGCCAAACAGTCGGACAGTACTGTGTCAGTATA